AATTGATTATTTCGACAAAAATCATAAGCTTTCTCATCATTTTGAGTATAAACACCAACTTCAAAAATATTCATTTTAAAAAAAATGGAAGGAATTATATAATATATATTGGAACTAAAAAAAAGGAACCAAAAAAAGATTTAAACCAAAAAAAAATTAAAAATGGAAAGTTTCGTCTACCAAAAATCTTACCCCTAGCCTTCCCCCTTATTTGCCCCCATCACTTCCTTTTAATAATTGTACGAATTTTAAATTTTAGAAAAAATTATTTTAAAATATCTTAAATAAAAAAAGATATATTAATTTAAAAATATCTTAAATAAAAAAAGATATATTATTTTTTTTTTCTTTCTTCCAATCAAAATTATATCCGTTAATATATTTTTTTTTGTGTTTTCTCCCTTTCAAAGCCATCTCATGGTTAACTCTTGTTGTCAAGTATGCTTAAAAATAGTTTCGCTTAATTTAAATGGCGTGTTTAGGAAACATGGTTCACCCGTGTGCCACAATTCTGGAAAATTTCCCCTCTCTTACGGCCCAGATCCTTTAATTAACGCTCCTCACTCGTATGACCCCAGTCCACCTTGTTCCTCAGGCTCTGTTGATTTATTCCTTAATTCGCATAAGCCTCCAGTTCTTTCTAGGATCCCTATAGCCGCCCGAGAGTCTATCTCAAGGTTCCTCACGTCACTTATAAATAATTTGAATTCGGATTTCTCCTCACTACCCTTATGGTTAGACCTGGTTAGTTTTTGTTTTCGAGTCCTAGTTAAACCCAAAAATAAAATAAATAACTTATCTGCCTTAATTAAGGAAAAAGTTTCGATGAATTTTCTTCTTCTTACGCTTTAAACCCCAACTCCTTCCGTCACAAATTGATCTCCGAAAAATTAGATCTTGGAGATATTAGCGATGCGGCCCGAATATTGTCTTCCGATGACTCTATTTCACCTATCAACGTTACCATAAAACAACTTCTTGAAAAACATCCACCCGCATGCCTCCTCCCCTATTCCCTTTACCTGTGACGAAGTACTTAAGTGCTTAAAGTCCTTTAAAAAAGGGACGAGAGGTGGGTTGGACGGCTTCAGACCTGGTTTCTTTGTGGAGCTAATTCAATGCTCTGATAGTGGTTTCATCGACCCTTTGTTGAAAGCATTAACCGAACTGTGCAATAATATCCTCGTACGCGAAGTTCCCCTTTGCATTCGTCCTATTATTTTTGGCGCCCGTCTTGTCTCCTTGACCAAACCGGATGGCGGCGTTAGACCCATAGCCATAGGGTCATTCTTTCGTCGTTTAGTCGCCAAGGCTATTGTAAATAGGATTCGGCCTAAGGCCAGTTCCTTCTTATTTCCTTCACAGTTAGGATTTGGAGTGAGAGGTGGGTGTGAAGTGGCCTCACATGTTGCGCGTATTTTTATAAATACTGAGGCCGATAAGGTTTTCTGCAAGTTAGACTTCAGAAATGCCTTCAACACCATCCATAGGAGGGCATTCTTACCATCTTTTTTACACCATTTCCCAAAATATGGGAATTTCCTTAATTCCTGTTATGGATTCCCTTCGTTACTCAAATTCGGGGAATTTTCCATATCCTCCGAAGAGGGGATACAGCAAGGTGATCCTCTAGGCCCCCTGCTCTTTACTATTGGGATTCATGATTTGATCAAAAATTTAAAGTCTAATTTCCAATTAGACCTTAATTTATGGTATCTCGACGATGGCTCTTTTGGCGTTTCTTTATCCAATGTTATGTGGGCCATAGAGTACGTTGAAATGGAAGCCTCGAAAATTGGTCTTTCCCTAAATAGGAAAAAGTGTGAAATTTCCTCCCTCAACAATAAGGATTTTATTCCTCCCTTAGATTTTACAATCATTCCGCACGAGGAACTCTGTCTTTTAGGTTCCCCTATCGGTTTTTCAACCTCCTTTTGTCAAAAAACTTTTGACGATTTGATCCAGTCCCTTTCCAATTCACTCAAGAATCTTCCTCATCTCCCCAAGCATCAGTTCTTCTTTCTCACCAAAAAATGTCTTTTTCTACCTAAATTCTTACATTTATTTAAATCTTCCACCGTTTTCCAGTACAATACTCTCCTTAAGGTCTTCGAATTAAAATTTAAACATTTTATCGAATCCCTTTTAGGCTTAAATTTTTCCGATTTCAATTGGTCCCTCGCCTCTATGCCCGCTTACCGGGGTGGACTGGGATTGTCACCCCCCTTCCTTATGGCAATTGCGTGTTTTCTTTCATCTCGAATATCCTTCGCCGATTCTATTTCCTCGCTTATCGAGTTGGACAATCCCCTTCTATCTTCAGCTAAACAAGAGTGGCTTACTCTAATCACCCAAGGCTCCGAGCAGCCAATTTCCTGTCATCTAAAGAGCTTCCTGGTCCCTATGCTTCAATGCTCGTTTGAAAAACTTTGTATTCCTGAGCTAACTAACCTTCAACTGCTCAGAAACGCAAAAAAAAACTCTAACGGCCATGAATGGCTAGACGCGATTCCGAGTGGTAAAAAGGAAACGTTACTCACAGACGATGAGTTTCAAACTGCCATTGGCCATAGGCTTGGTTGCTTTATCCCTTATGTGGACACCTGTGCTGCCTGTCACAAACAGGTTGATCCTTTCTCTAGACATTGTTTCTCGTGCCTCAAAGTCAGTGGCCGTTTCCTGAGGCACGACAACCTTAATAGGTTAATCGGCAAAGCCTTGATTTCGGCCGGTTTCCCCAATAGCTTGGAGCCATTGGGTCTCCTAAATGCTGACGGTAAGCGCCCTGACGGCATGTCTTTAACGTCTTGGCACGGCGGCAAAAGACTTGTCTGGGACGTCTCTTGTGTTACCTCCTTTCCGGCTAACGGAAATACCGACCCATTGGAACTACAAGAAACCAATAAGATTAATAAATATAGATTCCTCCCTAACTCTTTTATATTTATTCCCCTAATTTTTAGCGTCCTTGGAAACCCCGGTCCCCAATCCCTAAAGTTCTTAAATCAATTGGGTAGAAGAATTTCGTTAAGGACAGGGGTTAAAAACGAGTCCCTATCTCTTAAACAAAAAGTCCAATTTGAAATCCTAAAGGGGAACTACAAATGTTTCTTCGAAACACTCCCATTTCCCTCCTAGTTTATCAAATATAGTCATTTGTTTTATATTAAAAACTTTTTTGTTAATTATATATATATTTTGCATCGCAACTATATCTAGATTTTAACCACAAAAAAAAATATTTTTTCGTTATAATTAAACGTTTATGTTTTAATATATATATATATTTTTTTTCCGAGTATGTATTATGTATAATTTAATAGAATATTAATTGTAGCTATATTATTATATTTAAAAAAAAACTATTATTGCAAATAATAAATCATATTTCAAATATATTATATTATATTTTATTTGTAACTTTTATTTTATATAAAAGGTTGTTTTATTGAGATTTAAAAATATCTTAAATAAAAAAATTAACCAATAAGAAAATGAACCAATCATAAAAAAATAACATAAAAACAATAGCTTTCATAAAAAAATTACATAAAAAAAAATCGCATAAAAAAATAACAAAAAATCGCATAAAAAAATAACAAAAAATAACATTAAAAAATAACAAAAATAATTGCCCCTGAAAAGGTACCCTAACCAATATATCTATATTTTTAGTTCATATATTAATAATTACTTGGGGTAGTTATTTGAGCATTTTAATTCCAATAAATTTGAAGGTTAATTAGGATTCAAAAAAAATTTTCCTTTAATAGTTCATGATTTTTTTATTCCGGTCATTCTTGATGGGTTATCAACTAGTATATAAATAAAGGATTATTTATAGCCGAGCTAGATTTCTAAGCCGAGCGATATATAGTAAAAAATGATTTATTATGTCATTAGTCGAGAGACATTTCTCAGCCAAGCGATATTTAGTAATAAATGATTTATTATGTGGTTAGCCGAGCGTCATTTTTCAGCCGAGCAATATTTAGTAATAAAATAATTTATAGTGGTTAGCCAAGCGACATTTCTCATCCGAGCGATATTTAGTAATAAAATGATTTATTATGTGGTTAGCCGAGCGATATTTCCAGCCGAGCGATAAATAGACCCACCCTTTTACAATATATTTTTATTGTTATTTAATATTTTACATATAATTTTTAATATATTTTTAAACCATGTTATATCATTTAAAATTGAAAATTCTTATTTGTTTTTTTAAATATATTTCATTTTCATATCTTATATAATTTTATTTATAAATTGAAACCGTTTTTAAATAAAATTATTCGCAAAAGAAAAATAAAAAAAATTTTTTTTGATTATGGGGGAGGCGGGTTTCAACCCCAACCCCCCCCCCCCCCCTTGTCTATGCCACTAAGAACATTAGATGCCATGAGTTTGTCTAGGTTCATAATGAGAACATGAAGATGATTAACTTAATTTTGTAAATCATATGACAGTTTTAATTGAGGAGTTCCTCCGAGTAATATATATAATATACATGAACCTGGTAAATAACATGATAATTTATTTCATTTAATTACTAAGAATTAACATTTTTTATATAATTTTTTTTTTAAAAATCTAAAAATAAATAAGCGCTATAACCCTATATAGTTCTTAATTCGTAATATATTAATATAAAAAAAAGATTTTTTTTCTTAAATAGAAATTTCTACCGTAGATATTGTATGTAAAGAATAAAAATATGTTCAAATTAGTGTTGTTAAACAGCTTGATTTGAGCCAATTTTTAGCTAACTTAATCGTTTAATCCTAGACCTCGAGATTTAGCTAATACATGTACAAACCTTTGTTCAGACTTGCGTAATATATTTTTGGAAAAAATATTGAGTTAGCCCTTTTTAAAAATCGGTTTAAAACGGCCGTCTAACAACACTATTTCCAATATTTTGGAAAATTTGCTCTATTTATTTTTGCCTTTAATTTTTTTATAGCTAATATAACCATACTCAAAAATATGAATTTAACCTCGCTACAATCTTCCATGACTATCCGATTAGCGACCAACACGTGCAGTTTCGAAGATTTGCTGCTATGAATACGCAATTGTCGGGATATAAGATATATTTCGCTGTCGTAACAGTCCTCGATGAACGCCGAGGTTAAGATTGGTCCGGTTTTAATCGTGCAATTCCTTATATTGCTCAATTTCAGGTTAGGGATGGTGTGAAAAATAAAGATTTGACAATTTTTGATGTTTTCTACAATTAAATTAACATTCCGAGTTTGATTTTGATCTAGATTTATAACGACATTTTCGAGATTTTTCAGAACTACTGGTTTTTTATCACATAACTCTTGCGATTTAGGATCAATTTTCATCAGGATGAGCGATGAGTCGTCGATGGTGTTTGAGGAATCTCTATACAAGCTAGAAGGATTTATGGCAGCGTCTATGGTATCTAGCTTTAAATCCAACGGCAAAATGTTGATAACATCCAATTCTTTGGTGATTTGAGTAATAAATTTGCGATAGCTTATAATCTTTAAATTAGTTTACATTTGCTTTAACAATTAAAATGGCATATATTATTTTCATAATATTCTTATCCTGGAGTTAATTTGTGCAACTGAAATTACTGGGGTTTTTTCTCATAAATGTTATTGCGGCTTTAACAGACCGGGTTAAATTATATCGAAAAAATTGTTTTTACTTTTTCAAAATTAGAATTCTTTTTTTGAAAAATTTGAATATCGACCAAAAAACAATATTTTTGTCTTCATTTTTGAAAACGAATGAAACTTCGTATAATATTTATATAACATCCAACTTATAGTAATTATAGCTCTTTAAAGCTCTAGCCTAAAATGTATCCGGAGTTTTGAGCTCTCGAAGTCTAATACAGGTATCATCCTGGTTTTAGTAATCTAATATTATCCGATAAATTTTTAATCTAAATTTATTGCAGCCCTTAAAATTCTTTTTAAGAAAATATAAAAGTTAAAACTTCAGTGTCGATGTATTTCCGATAAAACAACTATGAGATATTTTGAACTAGCCTTATTTTTAGAAGACAAAACTGACCTGTGATTATGTACATTACTATATATTTAAATTTAAGTAAAAATTAGAATTGAAGAAATAAAAATATATCATTTCCTTTATTTATAATTTTAGGAATAAAAACACCAAAGATAGATGGTGCTATATTTTAATAATTATTATTTCCGATGAATTATTATTAGTGCTCTAAGGTAACTTTGGTAAAAGTAACGTGGTTACAAGATGGGCCTTTTTTTAATTTCTTTTTTTTTGAGTAATGGTAATGCAAAATGTTACTCGTTATTAAATTTTTCTATTAAAAAATATAAAAAGAGTAGATTGTATTTTTATATATATTATATAACTTTAAAATTTTATAAATAATTTAAGCCGAGTTTTTAATTCAAATCAACCGCTAAAGTCCTTCATTTTTATTTTATATTTGGTGTTAAATTTTATACAGTCAAGATTGTTAATCTAATATTGAATCAATCAGTGTATGTTATTTTATATTCTCTATTATTATTTTGTTGTATTCCATATCAAATCAACTGAAGATTCAACCCGACCCTCTTCGATTTTTTTTAAAATTTGCATGATGGTAGTATATACACTAACTAGCAATAATATAACATTTTAATTCACAACTCAGCTTACTTCATGAGATATGGCCATCTTTAGAAACGCGAAAAGTTCAAAATACACCATATTTAATTTTAAATATATCAAAAAGTAATTAAACTAAAGGTATAATTTAAACTTTATTAAATAACTCTAGAATAGCCCTTTAATATGATATAAAATTTATTATATTAAAAATAATTTTATTACCAAAAACCGGAAATAGAAAACCGGAAATGGTTATAAAATAAAAATTGCCCTTTTTTTTCTTTCAAAATTTTTTAACAAATAGACATTATATATCTTAATATTTGTACAAAATCCTAGATTGGGACCATTACTGGGCCAATAGTTATTACGCTTTAAATATAAATAGTATGGCTTAAATTCTATATTATACGAAATGAGTAATTATTTTTTTAACAAAAGTGATAATATTTGTGAATAATAGTATTATAACTGAAATCCGAACCCCATCTTAAGATTTATATTCCCCCCCCCAAAAAAAAAAAATTTCATCTTAAATTCGAGATTTTTGACCTGGCTATTCTATGAGTGAATTATCTAGATTATTTTCTTTGCCGGATAAAAAATAATCTTTGTGATCGTCAGAAATATATTTTCATAAAGATTATTTTCTACTTATAATTAATTATCAAATAAAATAATTATCATAAAAATCAAATTCAATTCCAACAGCAACAGCCGTCATTTTTATTGATTAATTTTATAAAGCCATTTTTCTAAGAAAATAAATTATCGGTATTCATTATCCAATTTATTTTTAATTTAAAATAATTATTTAAAATTAATAGCTATCTTTTATTCCTTACCAAAAAAATTTAAATGTCTAGAAAAGTTATTTCTATTCCAGTAAAGTGCTGTAATCCCTTTAAAATAAAATCTTATTCAGTAAGTTACGATCTTAGAAATGTTTTACAATGGATGATAGAAGTGAATTCTAGCTTATCAATTAATCAAAAAATTTGTAGCTCTTGCCGGAAATTAAAAAAATATTCAACAAATCTGATCTCACCTTTTACTTCTACGATCCCGATCACATTACCTTCTATTTCTAATTTACCTTCTACCTCAACTATTAATGAAACATTTAGCGATTCTGAACCTGATCAACCATGCAATAATCCCGACTCTTATGCAGATTTTAATACTTCAATTTCAACTTTAAATGAAACTGCCATTTTTAGGGGAGACACCTATTAAAAAGAAAAGGTTAAATGAAAAAAAAATATCTTGTAAATAAATTTTTGAAAATTCAGGGAAAAATTAAAAAAGTTTTTAAAATAAATTTAGAGGATCAAGCAAAAAAAGATGAAGCCGAAATCATAAATCAACTGAAAGAAAAATTTGCTACAAGTTCTCGCAATGAAAATACAAATTTTAACAGTTTTACCAAAATCTTGGACTCTTGATAAAATTGAAAAGGAATTTTCAACCACAAATTTTATGGCCCGGACAGCTAAACAATTAGTTGAAGAAAAGGGTGTTTTGTCAAACCCAAAAATCATAAATTAAATATCTTAATTCCTCATGCATTTATTTCTTCGGAACAATCTTCATTTTTTAAGTCATTAAAATCGAATTTAAAGGATGGGGAATATCTAATAATATCCGATTTTGCAGAGAACTACGCTTTTGTAGTTCAAGATCACGCTAAAGGCTTCCATTGGACTAATAATCAGGCAACACTTCATCCATTTATGATTTATTACTGCGAAAGCGGTACCATCAAACATATAAGTTACGTAGTTATATCAGATTGTCTAAAACACAATATTTGTTCCTTTTATTTATTTCAAATAAATTTAATTCAATTCTTGAAAGAAACATTTGATAAGATTTCAATAATTTATTATTTTTCTGATGAAGCCGTTACCCAGTATAAGAACAAAAAAAACTTTGTAAACCTCTACAACCATTATAATGATTTTGGGATCAAGGCAGAATGGCATTTTTTTGCAACTGCACATGGCAAAACTCCTTGTGATAGTTTAGGGGGAATTACAAAGAAGTTTGCTGCTAGAGCAAGCCTGCAACGTCCTTATGAAAATCATATATTAACTCCTATGAATTTATATAATTATGCGAGAATTAATATCCCGGGTATTAATTATACATTTGTCAGCAACGTTGAATATTTAAGAATGGAAACCAATCTCGAAAATAGATTTTTAACGGCCAAACTAATTCCCGGGACACAAAAATATCATTTATTTATTCCAATGGAAGGAAAAATGAAAGTCAAACGTTATTCTAATACATTAGATAATTTAAAGTATGATATTATTTAATTTAATATGTTTATAACAATATTAATTTTCCATTTGATATTCATGTAATATAAATAATTAGCTAAATAAAGTTATAAATATTTTTACAATTATTTTCTCTCTAAAATAAAATCGCTAAACTTATATGTTAAATATGACATAATGTCTACTAGTGGGCTCACAGCCCGAAACATTATAAAAAAAATATAATCGGTCCGATCATAAAGGAATTTTCTTTTTATTTGTTTCGTAAATTATACTATATATTTGGTATAATTTAGGATTTAAGCCATACTATTTATATTTAAAGCGTAATAACTATTGGCCCAGTAATGGTCCCAATCTAAAATTTTGTACAAATATTAAGAAATATAATGTCTATTTGTAAAAAAAATTTGAAAGAAAAAAAAAGAGCAGTTTTTATTTTATAGCTATTTCCGGTTTTCTATTTCCGGTTTTTGGTAATAGACTTTTTTATTAATAAAATAATTTTTATATCTTATTAAAGGGCTATTCTAGAGCTACTTAATAAAATTTAAATCATGCCTTCAGCTTAATCACTTTTTGAGATATTTAAAATTAAATATACAGTATTTTGGAATTTTCGCGTTTCTAAAGATGGCCATATCTCATGAAGTAAGCCAATTTGAAAAGTAAAATTTTACATTTTTATTAGTTAGTGTATATACTACCAACATACAAATTTTTAAAAAAATCGAAGGGGGTCGGGTTGAGAATCGACTTTTTTTGGTTGATTTAATATGGAATACAACATATGTTAATAGTACTTATTCTTCAAATGAAGATGATTTAATTCTGCCCTCACCCCAATATGAAACATGTTATTACACCGATAAAGAAAATTAATGGCCCTAAGTGTAGATGTGCCCTAATTCAAATATTTGAACCTCGATGTGAAGCTCAAATCTAAAAAAGCACATAAAAGTATAGATTGTGTTATAGATGAAAAAAAAATTATGAGGTTATGAATGAAGATTCTAGTGAAGATGATCTATAAGATGTTTTTGAAAAATCATTTTTAAAATATTTATAATAAATTCCCCCCATTAAAATTTTTTTTAACTAAATTTAACAACCTCCCATCCTCTGCACCAGTTGAATGTGTGTTTAGCACAGAGAGCGCTGTGTTGACGATAATCACTCGCTCTTGTTTATTTGTTCAAAACCTAAAAATAAATAAATTAATTATTACAAAATGAACTTATCCTATTATATTTTATTTTTTAATATCTATGTGGGAAAAAAATGAAAGGAAAATTTATTTATATTTAGTATTTGTAACTTGTTACTTTTTTTGAATAGCGAATAACGCGTTCTTTTTTTCACAAGATAACGGGTAACGGTAAAGTGTTCTTTTTTTTGAACGTAAAAAGTAAAGCGTTTTTTTTGTGAAGTAATTATTACAACACAAATAATCATTATACAAAAATACGCTTAAATATAGCAGAAACCTGCAGAGTAGGCATCTTAATCTTTCTCCGGCCTTTATGAAAATGATATATTTTGGCCTGGAGAACCAAATTTAAAAAAAAAAATATTTCTGGGCCTTAGGAATTAAATTGATGTCAAAAAATTGAGGAAGCTCGAAAAATAAGGTTTTGCATAGGATTCCCCATTAAACGGGGCCATTTTATTAGATGAGGTGGCCACATTCATGGCCCCAGTTGCATCCTATAAATTTATTTATTAGAAATATGATCGTTGCTAGGGAAAGGATTTGAATCCTCGTACTTTGGGTAAAACTTATTGATAATAATCTTTAACAAGAATACAAATAATGGATAATCATATTTGAAACATATTTTGGGCATTGATGAATGAGAGATAGATAGTCAGAAAATTATAATAGGTGTTTAAAATATTGAATTTATAAAAAAAAAAGTTATTTTACATAATAGTGGATATATATTTGTTACATATATGATTATTTATAAGGCTGTGTCCTAAATATCAAAAATATAAATTAATTTTTAACATAAGCTATTTTTAATGTAGAAAATAAAATAGTGTTCTAAATCATTTCTAGTCATTTACAAAAATTTATCATTTTTTTTAAATAAATTTTAATAAAATTTTGCTTAAAATTTATAAATTTGTGTAATTTTTATGAAAAAGCTAATAAGTAATAAATATTAAAGTATTTGTTGGCATTGCAATTTTCGTATTTTATTTTCGTTTTTCTATATTTTAATTTTTGCAAAACTTAAAAAAAAATTAATAGAAGATTTGGATATGTGTTATAATTTTATTAATTTGCAAAAATATAGAAATTTTGAGGTTTTTACAAAATATTTAGAACACTGCTAATATAAATTCCCTGTTTTTATGTTTAAAAAAATATTATAATTATTTCCTAATGTATTTTTTTATTCGCAAGAAAACAAAATAATATCGTAATTTTTACTTAAACCTTTATATCTAATTTTTTCTTACATATTAAATATATAGGGCTACGATAATTCATTTATTTTTTAATGAAAATACATCGATGCCAAGAAATTCTTAAAAATGCTATCATTGAAAAAAATATTTTTAAGGCTAAAAATTTTTTAAATAATTTATACATTTGGACCTAATATTTATAGAGTAATTTGACATTCTTAAAATCAAAATCGCATTTATATTGAACTTTGAGAGCCCGTAACTATGGATCTTTTTGAGCCAATGTTTTAAAATTTTGATTTTATATAAATTTTACATGATATAATGTACCCCTTCTCATAATTTTTGAAAAGGGTAGTCGAAATTATCAGTCGATTTGACATGAAATTTTACCCAACATTATAATTTAAAAAAATTTTTTGTGTTTTTCTTTCAGATCATTGTTTATGATGACTTATTGTATATTCATTTTTAAGGCGGGGAGATACAGTGAATTTTTTAAAAATGATATTTACGAAAAAAGGCAAATTGCCGAATTCGCTACTCTTAAGGAGCAGAAGTATTTCAACTTTCTTAAAGATGGGAATGCACAAATATAATAAAAATTAATTTATATCATTATATAACTAGCGCATTTATTAATTGTAAAATAATGTTATATATAAATCATAGACCTGCAGGCCCGGTTTTAAGCCCGGGCCGTATTTTAATTTTTTCAATTATACCCGGGTCTGGCCTAAAAAAAATTTTTAAAAAAATACCCGGTCCGGGCCTTATATTTTAAATCGCCATTATTAGCTATAAAAATAAATGTAATATATTTTTTAAAAATCGGGGCCAAGCCTGAAAATAAAACCGACCGAAAAAATATTTTAAAAAAAATCTGAGCCGAGCTAGGCCGTGTTAATGGTATCACTGCAGGTCTCTGATATAAATACCTAAGAGAGGTTAAATCCTCCACCCAACAATATTATTATGAAAAATGTAACTTGATAATTAGAGAATAAATTGCTATTTTCGTCGATCATTCCATAGAAAAGCTTAATGTCATCAGCAAGTTTGCTTAAACTCCCGTTCAGAATTTCGCTACCGCTGCCGGCATTTTTCAAAGACAATAGCTGATCGGTTATTCCACGTTTTAAATTTTCTAATTTATCGATAGATTCGGATTTACTAGTTTTAGACAATTGGCGAGCTTTTAACTTGTCACCTTGACGAGATTCTAGTTTTTTCAGCAAATGACTAGGAATATTAAATTTGGGACTGTTGGACATGACCTGATAATTATCTTTTTAGTTAAATTATTTGCAATTATATCAATAACTTTGATGCAATTTTTTTTTAGCTCCAGAGAAATTATGTCGGATATCATTGCATGAGTTTTTAACAATAGTTCTAAAAAAACCTGCAGATATTCTGACCTGGTTTTTTAATAGTCTCCTAACTTATTCTATACAAGTTATATTAATTTTTATTTGGTACTATCTAAAATACAAACGTTTAACTAATGCAAATAAAAAATTAATGTTTTTACAAAAAATTTCAATATTTTTATTTAAAAAATAAAATCTTGTTAGTTAAATAAGATAAAATAATTTTATAATTTTTTTAAACATGTTTTTAGATTTCTATAGTGAAAATATTGGAGATGCACCATAAGCATATCGGCCGATACTTTCAGATTTAAAAGATACAAATGTTTGATAACCAAAATTATAATTTAAAAAAAAGGCCTGTATAAGTTATGAATTAATAAGATTTAAAAAATTTTATCTAAAAATTTCTAAATGGATAAAGAAAAAAAGCATTGTTAATCTGTTTCCATATTCATTTTACTTCTTAATATAGTTGTGGAATTAACTAGTTATGATAAACAGGAACCTGCATGCCAGGCGCGTAACCAATGGGGGGGAAAGGGGGAAATTCCCCCCCCATCGCAAATTTGACTATTTTCATAAATATCATTTTAAGCTAATAAAAATTTTACCCCCACCCCCAGAACCCCCCCCCCACCAATCAAAATTTTACAAATATTTGAATATCAATTTTCCAACATATTATTCAAAAATATTAATAAAATGGAAAAATATTTAGTCAAAGAGATTGAAATCAAACGATAATTTATAAATAAGGCTGAGCATGAAAAAAAGTAATGTGTCGTTAGCAGCGATATCATTATTGAATTCAATTGATCAATCAGAGTTTATCATTGCTGCTAGTTGCATCAATAAATTATTTTTAGCTCGCTACTTTGTAGAAATTTACAAAAACCAAATTTAGATTTGGTTCAGGTTATTGATTTGGCGGAAAATATACATGAACAGGTAGATACAATAAGAATGAATGTAGATAAATATTTTCATAATATTTATCTAGACGTTGAATCGAAGGCTAAATTTTATGATATAATACTAATTAAACCTCGTCTAGCACCTAGGCCATTATTGAGATGAAGATAAATATTGGCTCAACTGAAGAATATTATAAAATATCCATTTTCATCCCATTCTTAGATACTTTTTTATCACAAATAAAAGTACGGGTTTTAGATAAAAAACAAGTCTTTAGCAATCTTCAAGTTTTATTACCCAAAGATCCTTCTTCATTTTCAAATGCCACTATTGGTAAAATTAAATATTTAGAAAAATTTTATTCCTATGAGATTGATACTGAAATAAATTTAATCAGTGAATTCGAATTGTGGTACAAATATTTATATGTTTAGCTATTTTACCTTCGCATGCTATTGATGCGCTCAATCGGTGTAAAGAAACCTTGGCTCAATTTCCTAATATTTCGAAGTTGTTTTATATTCTTGCATGTTTGCCTATTACAACATGTACGAATGAAAGGACTTTTTCTAACTTGAGAAGGTTGAAAACATATTTACGAAGTACTGAATCTCGGCTAAATGGGTTAGCTCTGTTAAATATACACAGAGATTTGGTTCCAATGACAAACGAAATAATTAAAAATCTTGTATTTGATAAGAAGTTAAAAAAACTTGTTAATTTAATTATTTTCAAGTCAATATTTTAAACTACTATTAGTATTTTCAATAAAAAAAGTATATTCTACTTATATTGTATGAGAATTTAAGCTGAGGCTAGTTTTTAAAGCAAATTTTATAAAAAAAATGACATTACACTTTATTTCAACTTTACATTTAAAAAAACCTTTACATTTAAAAAAACTTTATTAAATATACTATACCTAACTTGAAATAATAAAAAAGAGGCTTGTAATATCCTATCCATAAGCACGAATTAGTAAATAATAGTTAAAAATAGAAATATAATTATTATTAAATTATTCATAATTTAATAGAATAGCTAAATAAGACCCGGCCGAAGGCCAGGGAAAACTGGGCTAAAAGGGGTTTGGGGGCAAAGCCCCCAAAAAATTATTTCCCCCCCTATAAGAAAATCCTCCGGATACACTACTGCTGCATGCACAGTCCGGAAAATCATATGTTCTTAAAATTCTGGGCTAGGCTTAAAATTTAAAAATTTGGGCCAGGCTAATAAAAGATTATTTTATATTTTTGATTTTACTTTTTAAACAATCTGCGAAATACAGTTAAAATTGTTAAAGAATGATCAAAAATAAAAATTTGGCAAGGTCAATTTCCAAAAATAAGGCTGGGCTTGAATATATTTTCACCAAATCCAGGCTGGCCTAAAATTGCAGCCTATTTATATCACTATCCTTTATAGGATAATTTTAAATTAATTTTTTGTTAGTATTAAATTATTTATAAATTTCAGGGGTTCTCATTTAGGTGGCTAATAACCCCCCCTCCCCTTCACATAGTGATGTTACTGCTGTAGTCTCTATAAAATATAAATTACAAACACAATTTTCACTAATATTGAAGCATATTTAATATTTTATGGCGATTAATAATCAAAAAACCATTAGCTTGAGTTTTTGGATTATATCTCATAAATCAAAATTGGTTTTGGCATTGGGTATCAGCAAATAGTGTATTATGTGTTAATCTCAAAAATTTTATAAATAATAGTTAGGCTGAGCAATGGTGTATCAGCTAATTCAACTCAATATATGGGTACATGGCAAAGAAAGTCTGCTAAAGAGATACATATCAATTTATTTGATTTCATTTTTTAAAAAAACTATTAAAATTTTTAGGGTTAAAAAAATCAGGTGAAAATATTAATATTTTTTCAGGGTGTCTAAATGCCTCTGTATACCACTCAAGGGTTAAATTCTTAAAATATCTGAATTTAAAAATTAATTGCAATGGTTTAGGATGATTAAAAAATAAATGCATCATTCATGTTAAATCATACTAAATGAAGGTGTAAAATTTAATTATTGTAATAAATAACTGTCAACTTTTATTATTTAATTGCTCAATTAATGGAAAAATAAATAGATGATACATCAGTTTAAAGATTATTTTTAATCATAAAAATTTAATTCAATTTAAAATTTATAGAAATATACTTTCATAAAATATTAAACAAATAAATATTTTATTAATAAATATCATTTAATCTAAACATAATTTTACTATAATATTATAAATCCTCTTCACTATTAAGGGATTTAATAAGAAATTTCAATTTATATGTATTCTTCAACAAAAATCATCTAAAAAGCGTTTTCTATGTGTATGAATGAAAAAAATATCTAATGCCAGAAACTGTTTATTTTATATTAGATAGGGATTCAATTAATTATACGGAAATTTATCCTCATCAAACTTCCGGTGAAAATTTGAAGTGATAAAACGGTAAATATTATTTTATTTTAATCATATTTATTTACAGATTCTATGAACATTATATCTCAATATTGAAGTAATTATAACTTACACTAAAGAAATTAAGCGTAAAATCAGCCATCACCCACCTTTAAAGTAATTAAATTATACTGTAGTTCTCGGGTATAGGATTTTTCTTTGTCCCACTCCTTTTAAATTATAGCCTATAGAGGTTTAAGCAACATTTTCGAAATTTTGTGCCTACAAGTACGTGCGGCTTGCCCACAAACGGGTGGAGGGCTACTCATTTTTTTACTTTTATACCCAAAGTAAATTGCTCCAATTAGATGGAAATGAGGAAAACCTAGCGTAGCTCTGTTGAGTATTCAACGTTAGAGGGCGATGCGCTATATATCACGTATCAGGTATATTAGATAGGAATGTAAAAATTTAATATCATATTATTTATAAAATAATAGGGTAACTCACTGAAACTCGAGTAAATTTTTAATATTATTTGTTTTATTTTATAAATATTTATTTTTTAATTTATTTTTTTTAAATATTTAAAAAACTAATAAATATGCGATCTGGATATTGGTATAAATTTTTGGGGAAAATTTTCATAATTCTATAACTTTACAATTTAAAACAGAGTATATTTAAAAAATTTAAAAAGGCGTGTGCTATGATGTTACTAAGTTAGGGCTATTAAATAAAATACTAGATAATTAATCAATTTATTTGAATAAACATAATATATAAAACTGATAATATAGATATATATAATTTCAAGGATATTAAAAATAGTTCTATATATATTTATATCATTTAAAAATTTAATTTATTTATTTAAATTTGACATATTTCTAATATTACGAAAATAGGAATATTAACATATATATAAATGAAAGGAAGATTTCTTACATTAGTATGAAGTATTTTGATTAATTTCCCAAAGTTTATAAAGTTTTTATTGGTTTTCCTTTTTCGATAATCAATTCATATCAAAATTTCTCGAGTTGAAAGATATTTTGAATAAATTTTCAACAACACAATTGCAATTATTAGACATTTTAAATTAATAAATGTTTTTAAAAAGGAAGAAATTTTTTATTTAAAAAGAAAAGATAAAAATTAAAATATAAATTTTTTTCTTTCTCCTTTATTTATTAACCCTTCAATACTCCGGTGAAAAAAATGACGTTAGTACTCGGGTGGGGTTTAATAGACCCCAATTTCAAATGTATATATCTCCAGTAATATTCATTATTTTCATTTGATATCTCGATATAAGATAGACCTAACCTTAAGCTTGATAAAATATTTAAATATTTTTATTTCTTAAGCCTAGATTAAAGATGATGAGGATGATTATAATTTGTGCCAAAATTTCTTAAAAAAGGCTTACTTTTTTAAATTTCAAATATAAAATTAAAAAAATAACTTATTCATCATATAATCATGATATTTCATAATATGGATTTTTATTCTTCAATATAAAAAAAAATTACACTAAAACATTCATATATAAAAAAAAATATAGAACATAAAAATTTACTCTGGTGGGGTCTCACAAACCCCAATCAGTCACAAAATGCTTATATCTTAAAAACTACTCAACCGAAATATATGAAATTTGGAATATAGATTCTAAGATATATTTGATGAAACTACTGAAGAATCCAGATCATAATAATTAACCGTTTTTATGTATTAT